CACAGAATCGATCTCATCGCTGTCTTCCAAGAAAAAAACGAGAGGAAAAGCAGAGAATGCCAAGATTTATAACTAATTCTTCCAGTAAGCAACGATTAAATCCACTAAAAAGATGTTACAAAAACGTTAAAGTCACAACCACAACGAAAACAATGACGACAGCGACATCTGAAAGGTTCAGAGAACTATCTACTGTGCAACAAATAATGATCAGATAGGTAGCCATATCGTTTAAAACATACTCCGACACTTTCTTTATTTTCCCTTTGCAGTTGCAAAAGAAATGAAAACAAATGAATGATATGGGCGCTACAGAAAAAAAATTGGAACACCACGACCAACTAATATGTTGAAAAAAAAAAAAAAGGGAAAATAAAGAAGAAAAAATCTTTACATCAAAATTACCTTAGAAGAGTTGCAGGCGAGTCAACCAAAGCGAAACCTCAACATTATCATTATTAAAGCGCCAGCGTAAAGGAAAAGAAATGCCAAATTAAAATAAAGACTCCGTTATAAAAATGAATACCAAAAAATCTGTTACTGTTTGTGACCCGGCTAAATACAGAGTCTAACCTCACTCCCAATTAGTTCCCCTATCCATTTCATTCCAATGTGTAAAACAACAGGAATCAAAGAACTTCATTTGTTTATTCCCTTTTTCCCCGCTTTTTTTTTTTCTTTTGAATGCACCTTAAAATGAACACATTTTAACCAATAATAATTTCCAAAAGTTTTTCTTACTACTTCAAAAAATAAAACTAAAAAAAATTAATTAATTAATTAAAAACTAAAAAAATTACTCAGCTGCAGAAACAGCATCATTTTTTCCCTTGTGAACTACATTAGACTGATATGACCACAGAAGAAACTGAACACTCTTTCAGTCGCCTTCAACGTCGTCGTCGTCATCGTCATCATTAACAGACTATCAGCCAGCGTTCATCGAGACTAACAACAGTTATGAAGTACAGGTATCTGTTTTAGCGACGCTAATGAAAATAATAGTAGCCCTAATAGTAATATTACCAGAAGTTACAAAAGTCACAACACCAATAACGAAACCAACATCAACAGCAACAAGAACCGATAAAGATAGTGCCGTAGACCCAATAGCCGATCGGTACTGACCATTGGTAACAAATGCAACTACAATGACAACAGCTGAACACTACTCGATACTCTCGTTAGCGAAGTTTCACCTCTGTAAATTATCTTCTTTCAACCTAACCAATACTTCTTAACTAAACACTTAGTCATCTTTCTTCGTTAACTTTCCAACGATAACAATATAGCAATAATAAAACAACAACAACAATAAAAAATACAACAAAACAAGATAAAAAATAAATAAAAAATAAAAACGAGAATAACCGATCAGTGCCGTTAAGAAAAAGTGTCACAAATTACATCTGCAGACAGCCATAAAACTGGTAAGTGATAGAGGAAAAAAACTTCCATCTTTCCCTGTTACCACAGTTTTTTTCCCCCACTCCACCAAAAACTGTGCATGAAAAGAAAAAATCAACAAATATGGAAGGAGAAAAAAAACCATTACAAAAAAAAAAAAATACAGGATCGAAGAAACAATTTGGTATATCCATACAAAATAATCGCATATATATACACAGACACAGACACAGAGACACAGACACAGACACACAAACAAACACACAGACACAGACACACACACACACACACACACACACACAAACACACACACGTCTCACAGATGCACACTATAGTCTCACATATATATTAAGGGGGGACGGGGAAGGGGAGGGGGGAAGAAAAGGCACCTACTCAAATACGTGTAGTTGAAGTCCTAAACAGTTACACTCAACGAAGAACTTTTAGTTTCTTTTTCACTTCAACACAACAACTTCGAGTAGAGAAAAAAAAAATAATAATAATAATAAATAAAAATAAATAAATAAAATAAAAAAGTTAAAAAAAAAACAGAAAAAAAAAGAACATGAAAAAAAATCCCTTCCAAAATTGAAAAAAAAAATACTAACTGGAAAAACCAGAATTTCCATCTCATCTTTTCCACTCATTCATTCATTCATTCATTTCATTCATTCATTCATTCATTTTTTTTTCGACCCGTAAAACATAATCTACAACATATAAGCAACAACAGCAAAAATCATAAATAAAAAAAAAAACCGTAAGTATACAGAAATAAAAAATAAATAAATAAATAAATAAATAAATAAATAAAT